CAAGCGCAGTCGCTGCTTACTGCGCAGTTAGCAGAGCGCAGGCTTATGCGTGCGTGTGGATGCATGTGTATGTATGTGTGCATAAAAGAAGTGCAGAATGATTAGAATATCARCTTGGAGGGTTCAGGGTATCTCGTAGTCGAGCAGTCTCGACTGGAGCTTTCTTACTTGTTTTTTCTTATATTGCATTGTAAGCCCACACTGCAGTCCATACGTGTTTATGCGTGCATGCCTATGTGTGTCTGTGTGTGTGTGTGTGTGTTTTTTTTTTTTTTTTAAGCAGAAAGGCGCGAATAATAATTTAAATATAAATTTTTAGAAGGGTTCAGGGGATTTTGTAGTTGAGCAGTCTCGACTAGAGCTTTCTTACTTGTTTTAAGCAGTATATAATATGTGTAGTGTCAATACAACGAGTAACAAGTAACCAGAAAAAGGGTTAGAGAGCAAGCGGAATGTCTTAATGGAATCTGGCATTAACACGTTTAATAAGACTATCATACCCTGATCGAAGCAGGATTAATGAAGCATGAAACAAAAACCTAACTCCTTGTATTTATTTTCTATGATTAGCTCAATTTTACTTTTAATGTGGATTGTTAATACGAATACCATAAAAGTCTAATTTATCTAATTGTTTCCTTTTCCACATTTATTCAGCAGTGAAAATGAGACGGAACGCTTCAGTTCTTCTTTGACCTCATCGGTACCCATCGTAAACTTAAATTTACAACCCCCGAAAATTCGCGGTGCATGTGTTGATAATAATGGTGGAATTATCATTGCAGAAGATCTAATAACTATAAGTAATGCGGAAGGTAAATCAATGTCACAAAATAGTGATCAGCCTTTATCCATGTTAGAATCATTACCGAGAGTATCGCAAGAAAGAAACATTAATTTACTAAGTAAGGAGAGCAAAATTATTGATCTAGAAGCCAGTGAATATCACTTAACCTCACCGACACCAACGAGTCAATTAGAGAACGAAAGGAATACTAGACTTAGCATTACCACAAGTACACCGGCAACTAAAATGAATCAACTTGAATCAGAGTTAGATGTCATTAAAGAAGTTAAAATTGAACTAATTGAGTCTTCCGTCTACAAAAATAGTAACACGCTACAAGAGCTTGTTTCCGGTTCGCCAATCAATATATTTACGAAAGAAAGTGACCCCAAAAATAATTCTCATCTCATTAACAAAGAAGAAATAGGAAGCGTTAATAAGATAAATGTATGCTCGAAAAAAATTATTGTCGAAGAAAAAATTGATTATCATATTCAGGAAAATGAGGTTGAACTGTCACCCACTACTGATGAGTATCAAGAAGGAATGCATTTTAGTAATAAGGACGTAGTCTTCGACTACGATATTATAGAAACCGAGAGATATCTTGGTTGCACAGCACCTGCACCGACACCGGCTCCTTCATTGGCACCGCTCGCTGTATTAGAAGTCGATATAGCGGATGATGAACCCTTAGATGAGTCTGCAGCTGCCAAAGCTCTAACTCCTGTATTAAACAACGATGAAGTTTGCCGACGGCGTAAAAAACGGAATTCTGCAACTAAGACGTTAAGCTCATTTGACGAACGAGATAAACTAACTGAAAAGCCTGACTTCCCTGCGCCAACATATACTGATGAGGCCGAACATAACGCAGTATGTCCCTGGGAAGATGAGTAAGTATAAAAATATATTACAAGAAATTCATTGACGTAACCCTTGAATCCCATTGTTATAGAAATGTTAACACCAGCGACGGAACATTTGTCAAGACATATGCAACATTGGGATATTTATGAATACAACYATCATAAATATAGGCAACAGATTATGAAGTTACTTTCTTATTGTA